CCCCCGCGGGCGCGGCGCGGGGTGGGGGCGGCGCTGACCTGACTGCCGGTTCCGGCGCGGGAGGCGCGCGCGCGGCGTTGGGGTGACAGGCCCGCGGGGGCCGGAAGCCCACCTGTCACGGCGGCCGGGGGCGGCCGGCTCTTTGTGTGGGCCGGTGGGCTGTCCTCGCTGGCGGGGGGCGCGGGCGGGCGCCGGGGTCTGCGCGGGAGGGAGGGCCGGGGCCCCCGGGGGGTGCCTGGGCCATCGGGGTTTTCATTCTTACTCATTTCTTGTTTCCGTCCTTCTTACCAGAAAAATCCGTTTTCTTCTGCGGAGGGCGAGCCCGGACAGCGTCGACGTCGCGGATCTGGTAACATGGCCAAAGATGTAAGTGCGGGGTCCGCGCGCCGGCCGTTGTGGCCCTGCGCCTGGGTGCGCCCGCGTGGACGGCGGGGGCCGGGGCCGGGGGCTCGCTGCGGGCACCGCTCACCCGCGTGTTCGCGGTCGGCCGTGCGCTTAGGGACGCGCGCACCTGCTGGCGCGGAGGCGAAGGGGGCAGGTCGGCGCTACGCACTCGCTGTGGCCACGTTTTCCTTTTCCGTTTTTTGTTTCTGCCTCAGAAAAACGAAATTTGGTGACTAATGAAATATGAAAAGTCCTGCTTTGGCTTTTTCCATATTTGTCAGTTTTAAGTTCGTTCCCAGAAGCAGGCTTCTAGGTCCCAGAGCGGTCCGTGGGCTGCGCCCTGCGGGTTCTGGCTGCGCCGCGGGCCCCTGGACATCTCCGCAGGGCGGCTTAGTACGCATTGCCCAGAGCTGGATGCGCGTCCGCCCGCGCCCCGGGTGCCCCTGCCCGTGCTACCCTGCAGCGGCCGCGAGCCGGACCACAGCTCTGCAGAAGGCCGCGCTCAGGGCCCCGCCGGGCACCCAGGCCTGCAGCGGTCCTGCCGTCGGGCGCTGTGGGCGAGAGCACGCGCTGGCACCCCGCCTGCTGGGGTGTCAGTTCAGGTCAGAGTCTGTGTCCCATGGGAGCTGGCGGCATGAGCGCGGGCCACATCTGCGGATGGCCGTCCCGGCCCTGGTGTGTACCCCCGGGGACGCCCGACACGGGGTGTGTGCTCAGTAAAGGAGTCTGGGTGCGCGCGCTTTGGGAGCCGCTCTTGCCGACTTGGTTAACTGTGATCCCGAGGCCCTCTTGGAGCCGGGGGGACCTCCGCCGTCTCCTGCAGTGGGCACGTCCACAGGAGCAGCCTCTGCAGACTGCAGGGCAGCCTTTGGCGGCCCTCTGGCTGGCGTCCTTGGAGCTGATGGGGGGTGACACACTGGAGGGGACAGTGGGGTAACTGAGGCGGAGAAACAGCGCCAGGAGACGCAGAGAGGAAGGGCCTCCCGGTCCTGAGAGCTGGCGACATCGAGTGTGGCTGGAACTGGGTCTCACCCGGCCTGGTGGACGGGGCTGGAATGGGGGGTGTGGTCCAAGGAAGGGCGATACGCTTTCTCTCTAGCTGGCTAGTTTTTGTCACACCAGGGGCGTGACGTCTGAATTTGGGAAGGTGACTCTGGCGGCTGCTGTTGGAGGGGAAGCAGCCGCAGGTAATTCGGGTGGCGGCCCTCCTGTCTGAGCTAAGTGTAAGACCAAGCCCGCCAGGATGGGCTGGAGCTGAGCCTTGGGTTGAAGGGGGTGGGCTGGGACCCCAGCTTTACAGAGCTCTGGGGTCTCTGTGGAAGTCTGGAGGGGGCTGGAGGTAGGTTCTGGGGGTCACAGTGAAGGAGAACAAATTTAGGGGACAGGGACAGGTCAGCCAGGCAGGTTTTGGTGAGGAGAACCTGGGGAAATGGTGTGGTAGCTCCCTCCCTGCATCGGAGGCTCAGGGACACCAGCGGATTTGGGGGCACTGGATGGCTTGAGCCTGTTCGCTGAGGGTGGTGGGGTGGTGGGCGTGGGCAGGCTTAAAGGGCAGGAGCCGCCCGTGAGGGAGAGGGGCAGCCAGCTGTAGAGGGCCTAGGGAGTGTCAGCAGGCCGGGGGCAGCGATGGCCGTCCTGACCTGAGTGCGGAGCTGTGGGCCATGCCGTGGCCCTGGGCAGGCATCTAGGCGCACAGACTGCTGCTGTAGGCTAACCCCCAGCCGTGTCCCGGTGGAGGGGCCTGATGTCGTCTGGGAAGGTGGGAAGAGCTGCGTTTTTCACTCCTGTTGTGGTGGGTCTCGGTTTAGAATTGACACGAGCCGGGCCCATGGCTCCTCTGTGCCTCGTGTTTGCCTCATTTGTCAGCATGTGGGGACGAGGGGGAAATGCCCGGGTCAAGGCCGGCCGGCTTGTTTTGTTCATGCGTCCATCTTGTCCGTCCTTTGTGGTTTGACGAGGGCCCGTGCCCGGCGGAGAGAGCGAGGTGTACCGTTTGGCTGCTCTTCTGAAGCTTGCAGGGGCCAGGGGGCCTGGAGCAGTGTGGGTGGGGGGGTGCTGGGGGCACAGAGGAGGCCCCGGGTGGGGGTGTTGGGGCAGGAGGGGAGCCAGGGGCAGGAGGGGAGCCAGGGGCAGGAGGGGGCCTGGTGGCATGGGGCTGGAGGGGGCAGGGGTAATGGGGAGGCTGGGGTGTGGAAGGGCCGGGGGTCGGGGGTGGGGGGGAATGGGGTTTGCCCCAGGGGCAGGAGAGCACGTGGGTGTGTGGGGCCTGCAGGAGCCGGGCCCAGGGCGCAGCTGCTCCGACGCGGACCGCACCTTGTGCTTTCTGTTGCTAGCACACAAATAAATATTTCTTTGTGTTTAAAAGGGGCATCTAGACAAAACACTGTCATTCCTTCGCTTAAAAAAAGCCTTGCATTTTCTTGCAGCGCGTGAGAACAAGGCTGGTTCCGTGGTGATTAGTTGCGAGTGTTGCGTCCTGCAAGCGCGTCTCCACCTGGAGGTGTGCGTGACAGGAGCGAGTGGGCTCCCGTCAGGGGTCCTGGGGGCAGGACCCCGCCTGCTCCCCTGCTTCCCTGGCTTGACTCTGGCCTGACACGCAGAGGGCCACGCGGCCTGGGGCAGTGCGTCGGCATGGAGGCCCGCTGCCGCCGTCTCCAGGAAGCTGGCTGGGCCTGAGGGCTGAGTGGGCCGTAGGCCTTTGACCTTCGTTTGCAGGGATTGTGTTGGTATAAGCAGGCAATGAAAAATTCAGATGGTAAAAATCCAAATTCTGTATTCGTAGCTGGTGTGGAGAGGTGGGAGCTCCGCTGGCACAGAACAGTGTGGGAACGTGAGACCCCAGCGCAGTCACTCCCAGAGGTGGCCGTGAGCAGCGGTTTGGGGCTCACTTCCAGAATGCAACAGGAGAGGGATCCGGGGCAGGAGTTCCTTGGCTGTAGAGATGGCCACGCAGGGACGGCGTTCCCTCCTGCGGTCCGTGGAGGCCAACACCTGGGCTCGGTGCAGCCAGCAGGGCACTGCCTCGCCTCCCAGCAGCGCCCACGTGGGACCCCCTGGCTCAGCCCTCCACCGATGAACGCTGTGGGCAGTGTTTCTGCAGTTCCACGGAGAGAGTCTCGGCTGGGCAAGGCACACGACGGCGACATTTCAGTTGCCACCCTTGGACTGCGTGGGTCTCTGCTTCCACAGCCATGGACCCGTCCCTCCACCAGGGGGGTCTCATCACCCCGAGAGGTGAAAAATGTGGATTATGTACTGATCGGAATTCCATTTTGTGCCAGCCAAGGCTCCCCTGGACACAGATCACAATCGGGAAGGCTCGCTGGGCTGAGACGACAGTCACGTTTTCAGCACGGACAAGGGCTCCAGAGGTGAATGTTGCCTTCAGAGAAAATACAGAAATTGCAGTTGCTTAGACATGCTCGTGTGTTAGAAATTGCCCTTGGGAGAAGTAGGAAGGGGAAGGCCGCTGACACGATAGTGTGCCTGGACGCGTGCCGGGTGTGTGCCCGTGTGCTGTGTGGGCGGTGCAGCCCCCAGAGGGGGCTGCGGATTTTCTCAAGGTCACAGGCAGAGCCCAAACTCCTCGTGAGCCGCTAGAACGTCCGTGTTCTTGTCCTCGTCCGGGACTGCGAAGGTTTGTAAAGAGCAGGGAGGTAGCCTGTTGTCTGTAAGATCACGGAGATGCTGCTGCGGGGGGATGTGGGCAGCGGCGGCGCTTCCTGGGGTCGGCCCTGCCCCTGCGGGCTGCCGGTGTGCGAGCCCGAGGGCCCCCTGCCTGCGGGAAGCCCGGTCGGGCCGAGGGCAGAGCGGTGGCAGCTGCTGGAGGAGGGCGTCTGGGTCCCTCTGCAGATGCGTGGCCTCCGTTTCGAAATCTGGTCTGTGACTCCACTTTGTTTCCTGTGAGTTTATGGAAAATTCTCTGAACGGTGTCGAGAGCTGGAGGCTGAGGAGGAAGGCGTCCCGTCTAAGCTTCGGAGGGATGGCGGTGCGAGGCCTGCTTTGACGCCACTAGGAGACTAATGAGCTTGTCTAAAAATACACGTACTGAGTATCATTTTTCAGACCCAGACCTCGAGGCTGAAACGGGCTGAAGCGGTAACGTGCGGTTTCCTTGGGTCTCGGCTGGAGTGCGCTGCGGGATGTGGCGCCGACTTGCGCAGCCGTGGCGTCTCGTCGGACGTGGAGAGGCCGTCAGTGTGTGCACGCAGGTTACCAAGTGAGGGGGGCTGTGGTGGCGGGCTCGCTCTTGCCCGGGCTTCTCATGGTTCAGAATTCGGGGTGCACTGGGGCAACTCTGGGATGGGGTCCCAGGCAGGAAGCTCGGCTTGATTGGAGGTCAGCGTGGAACATCTCGCCATCGAGCAGTGTTGGACGAATGAATTCCTGGGTAAAAGGGCCCTCACAGAGTCAGCTCTGTGCTCTTGGTGTGTCTCCGACGGTTGGGGAATGGGCCCGCAGTGTCTGTGCCCGGCCTGACTGGCGGTGCGACTTCTGGGGACACCTTTGTCACAGACCACAGAGCCACCTTTCTGAAAAGCTCTTCTCTTTAAGCGTTTAAAACGCCCTACCACTCTTCAGTGGAGCAGTCAGGAAGCTCTCATTCGGAATCCGTACCTGGCTTCTCCTGCACTCAGCTTCGAGGCGTCTGCGAGGAGGGACTGGGTGCCTGGGGAAGTGCGGGCGGGAGAGCAGGTGCTTGCTGGGGGCCGGTCGTCTGCGCCATGGGGTGTCGGCGCGGGCCGAGTTAGAGGTGGGACCCCCCCCCCCCAGGCACCTTCTGGCTCAGTGTGGTGACACGCCAGGGAGCCGCACGCGCTGCCCGCCCGGATGCCGTGCCGATGTGCCCAAGGTCCCCCGTTCCCATGCTTTCTGGCCAGCTCTCAAGCTTGCACCAACCTGTGATGACATCGGGGCGAAATCCCGGACGTGCACCTGCGCGCGACACAGCGGACACGTGTGTGCACGCGCGCCATCTCTGA